TTAATACCGATTTACCTATGTCGGTCACGATGAAATTACATAAGCTTTTAGGGTTTATACAGATTTAGCGCGTGTTCGAGCCTGTCGAGTATAATTTTAGTCGTATGACGAATGTAGCTCGTTTTCGTGCAGTAACATGAAAAAAAAGAAGAAGAATAAATAGAAACACGACGAATTACTCTCGTCGTTATTAGCGCAGTGACGACTACGATGACTGCGTGGACTGAAATTGAAAAATCAGGAATATTCGACAGGCCGTGGCAAGAATGTTATTTGGAAGACGTCGAGTAGCTCAAACATTATTCTAACCTGCATGGTGCAACAGAACGGTTACACGCACAAGTAAATCAAAATATAAAAGGGTTAAAAACAACACCGGAAGAGAGTCGAAAATAGAATACTTAGTCACTGAGTCGAACGGCGTGCGGTGTCTATTGGCAAGCCAGAAGTATTTTGGCAAGATATATACAAATCGCGATTAAATCATTCAGGCCCAATGTTATTCCACCGAACCGCTGTCGGGGAACACGAAATCTCGATCGAGGAAGAATCCGAAGATCTCCTTTCTACCTAAATCGAACGTGATTCCCGCTCGATCGTCGACTCTCCCAACGAGATGGATCCTCGCGACCAATTATGTAATACGCTAATTTTAAGCGATTAAACGGTACTCGAGTACCGATATTTATTCCAAACAGACTGCGTGAAACAGACACAGGAAAAAGAGGAGGAAGGGAAGAAATATCGTGAGATTTTCGAATGTCACAGGAATTCCGTTATTCTCGCGTTCTTACGTAAGAGAGGATGCCGGAGTACACAGCTTTCGTTCCGTCGTTAGGAAAGTTAAGCAAGTGTTTCGTGAAAGGGTACCGCTACAATTATCGGAAATAAGGCCGGGAATTATATTATAGAAACACGGTTTCTTCGGGTTCTACAACCGTAACCCGCTTTTTTCCACGCCTGTTCTCCACCTTTATTGGCCCAGCTATTATTCCACTTCTTCGTTGCGAACGTAATCCAATACCTGTCTATGTGTCGGTCGTTCTTATTTTCATATTTCACCCGGCGCAGAAGGGACACGATCGCGTTTTGCGATTCGCCAAACTCGCGATCCAAATGGAATTTAATACCACGTACGTTTGGAATCTACGAAATAGTCCGATACTCGACTACGGACTCGAGGTTCGAGGTCCGATTGATCCGAATGGCGTAAAAGTTAATGGCACAGAAGCGTGGCCCGTTGCTCTCGCGGGGATTAAGGTTAGTCGATGGCGGAAAGAAGTTCGAAGTCACTTTAGCCGCTCATCCCCGTTTCGAAAAGGAAACTTTGATTGGCCGGCGCGAATTTAGAGCCACCAACGTCGGACTATCGAAGTTTCAAAGGTTAACGTGGACTACTTAAGAAGAGGTACATGTACTAGGCAGCGCATATTCTTGGATCAGCTCTCTCGGCCCAGTCGCAGACCTGATCGCATTCTCTCGTTAATTTCGCCGATTCGAGTCCGGTCGACATAACACTTTCTCACTCGCCTCGTTATTTCCCCCATTTCGATGGGTCACGTGAGATTCGCGTCTTAAAATTCGGAAATTTTTACCCTTCGACGATCGAGACAACGCGAGTCATCGCGTTTCCGATTTTAGGGAAAAATTTACTTTGTCCCGATTATCGCGATTTTACCGATCTTTACGAACGTGTATTACCCATACGAACCCCTGTTGTATCGTCGTTATCCCGTAATTCCTGTTTTTCTGTTATTTTATGTACCGCGTTTACGCGGGACAGTGCGTGGTCGTTATTATCGCGCGAGTAATTCGTTTCTCGTAAAATATGAAATTTTGGGGATTCTTTTGATAGGTAAATCGGTAATGCAAGGATCGGGGATTTCTCGAGCGATTTTTGTAGAATGGTACTCATGGGGATAATTACGCTTCTGCTCTATATATCGAATGACGATTATTGCAGAGGCAGAACTAATTTCTCAGAGATGCATTACGCATATGCAATTTCATGGTCTGACACCTGGTACTTGTCGCTTAGGACATAAACACCGAAATGGTAGATATAATTACTATTAATTGCGCCGCGATGTTAAACGATGCTATACCTGAATTCTTTATGCTAATTGCACGTGATATTGTCTGAATTTATCGGTCGGTATTTACTTAATCGAGTTTGCAGATAAATAAAAGTGCGAAGGCAATTTTTTCCGTATTCCGTAATTACGGGTACTTGAATTGAGAGGCAGTAAAATTACAATAAATAAACATAGGAAATATATAAAATACCAGGATTATTAACAGATACGAAATAAACGAGTTGCCGAGTCGAAAGCGAAGCGAAGTGATACTGCCACGCTATTTATTCCATGACCTATTTCTCAAATTTGATTATTTCGATATAATTTTGTCGAATTACGGGGAAGGACCGTTGAAATTTTCCCTTTCACGTCAATCGCGCGTGTTATGTCCGTATACCTTAGCGACGCCCTATTTTCCAAAAATATCAAGAACAAGCCTGGCCACCGGTTATCGAATCGTCAGATTTGTCTACAGCTTCCAAGAATGGACCAAAACCAACATCGCGTATCCCACGATCTCTGTCCACCCGAATATTTTCGTTATTAGATGATTTACCACATTTATCTCCACTATCTCGTGCTTTTCGTCGTAAACATCGTACCGTACAAATTCCGATTTTGATTTTATATCGATAACATCTAGGTTTTATCGCCAAAAACGATACTTTTAAATATATCAACCGTAATGTAACCGAAAAGAAAATTTCAAACAAACTCGAAAATGTTATTTACAAACGGTTCAACGACGTACCATAGTAGGATTGGCCTGTTTACACGGAAGATCCTCCATTTTCTCGATCAGAATTTTCTACATCCAAGTTGGAAAAAATCGTGAATTCTGGGTTTGAAAGTACCCAAGTATATTTGACCTAAAACTCACTTTCTCTCAGACATTTGACTTCGTTCGTCCTATCGCTTTCTTCTTCAGACTACTCGCCTCTTCTAAACCTCGCAGCTTCGATAAATAATATCTTTGAATCCGTTCGAAGCAACGGATACCTTCGCGGATACACCGTGCACGACACGTTCATCTCCATTCAAGAACTGCCAATCTATCTCGACTTGGACTTATCCGAATAAAGATCCGAGGAAATCGCGCAGACTTTTCGAATTTCACGGCGAGCTTATCTTCCGCTTGGAATTCCACGATTCGGTTTCAAATGCACAATCGGGGTGCCCGAGTATCGAACGTTCGAGTGGAATCTCGAAATAAGACGAACGTCATCGAACCAGGCGCATCGGGTCATACGAAATCGAATACCTCTGAATACCGAGTCCAAGGGTTCGCTGGAGAACCGATCGTGGACCAACTGCCTGAACCGGATGCGACAAATACGCAGAACTATTTCGAGAAAGCGTGCAATTTCATTCCAAATGAGCACCGATTCGAATTTACGAATTATCGTTAATCCAACCCTTTTCGTTACGATGTAATTACCTTGTTAAATTTATTATTATGCCCTATCGAATTGTTAAATTTGATTCTGTACGTTTATTCGACGCTATTAAATATTAATCGAAAATGTAAATACAATCGATAGGATACAATCACCCTATTAAATTTCACGCTACGCGTCTATTTCACTGGTGGCCTACTGCAAATTTACCTGCCTCGTTCAACGTAAAAAATGAAATTGCGTAACATTTCGTTGGGAGAAATTTTTGCAGGAAATTTTAAATCTACGTGTATAAAAATTAACGCGATTTCACAAAGTTCGGCTCGACTCGTAAACGCGATCGTGCAGATTGTTGCTACGATCTTTTTTTAACGATGGACACGCCAAAGTCGGTGATTCTATTTCGGGAGAAGAATCACGATAGATTTTATATATCGCAAAAAAAGAAGATAAAAATTAAATCGCGCGTGGGATGTTACGTAATTCGAAAATGATTCGCGTGCCAGCGAAATTTTCGTACGCGCCATCTCCGTTCGCCGATCTGCTTCGTTCGCGATAAAGCTGTAGAAGCGTTTCGGAGTTTGCGGAAATTTCGCGCGAATCGAAACGTAACGCGATAAGCGTGATTTTGGTAAATACGAGGTTCGATAGGTTTAACGAGGAGAAATTGCGAAACGAGGGGAATCCGTGATCTCGGGGAAAGAAGTTGAACGAACCTTGGGAGTATTTGCAAAACAAAATAGGATATACGAGGGTAACGTGACGATAGTGTCGAAATTATTTATGCAACGCGGACGGGGTAAAAATTTTGTTTGCCTATCGAAATTATCGCGAGGCGGTAGTTATCGCTATAATTAAACGAAACCTTCTAGCCGGCGCGGATTATCGTACTGTCGCTTATCGCTATAATTAGACCAAACCATCCACCAATACCGATCTCTCGGACAGTCCAAGTCCGACTTGGTTCGGGATAAAATTCTTCTCCGCCGTGTATACCGGATAATAGCGAAAAAGAGACTGGAATCGAAGAATCTCCTCGACGAGATTGGATCGGACTCGAGGTTGAAAGCGAGGATGAGACGTAACAGCGATCGAAAGCGTTCCCGAAGTCAACGCTCGCGATGCAATCGGACCAGTCCTCCATCAACGAACGATTGGAACCGTACCAGCTGGCGTTTACGATTAACCCTCTGCACACATCGCGGTATCAATTTGAGAAAAGCGTTTCCCTTCGGCGAGGAAACGATAAAAGGAGGAAAAGCCAAGCGGGAAACATCGATCTTCGCGAAGCGTTGACCGCGGTATGCGGATGCACGATATAAAATGATCCAACAAAACTGTGCGTACGATCGCAGGGAACGTTGGCAGTTTGCAAGCACGGTGCGTGCGGTATCGGTGGATGATTTACGACGACGCGGGAAAAAACGGGAAAGAAGAAAGAGAAGAAAGAGAAGAAAGAGAAGAGAGAGAGAGGAAGAAAGAGAGAGAGATGAGAGAAAAAAGCGATTGATGGCGTGCTACTCACTGTAATCCGAAGTGTCGTCGTTGGAACCGTTCACCGTGCCATCTGGCAGAATCTGCAAATGCCGATTCTTGATGTACATCTGGATTTTCCTGGAAGCGCCGGTGATGTGCGACAAATTGGCGGATCGTTCTGCCCTCACGCCGGCGTCACCCATTAAATCAACCGGCGCGGCACTCACTGCACTGATAACTGTGCCAATCGCCAACACACTCAACCCGGTGGTACTCGGTTTCGCACTGTAGTTAAACTTCACACTGGATTTACGAAGTGCGCACTGTCCGAACGCGACGAGGAAGAGCAGTAACGCTAACTGAATGTACGTGGAACGGTTGTTAGGGCACTCGCGTCTCTTCTTCCTCGTTCTACGGTCACTTCTCGTCAAGGACTCTTGGTGGTCGAACGAAGGAAAGTCGGTCTGCCGATCGGCACTCGCCACGACCTTGGCGACGCGCGACTCGCTACTCGAGGAATTCGTCGCGTCCACTTCCTTCCACGTTTCATCGGCCAAGGACGGAAGCGTGGCTGCCGTGACGAGCTTCTCGTACGTCGTCCGATCGGATCTCGAAGGGTCGCTCGAGTGACTAGAGAACTGCGTGGCTGCTGCCGTTGCCGCTTTCCCTCTTCGGACACTGTCCGCCACGCGAAATCGCGACGGCAAATTGCGAGCCGTCGTCGACGTAGCGTCGCAACCTTTCGCGCAGCAACTTCCTTCTATCGGATGGCCGTGTCGGTGCCAACTTGGACTTTCGTCCCTGTCGTTTTCTCGTTTTCTCGAAGGCACTGGAATCCTCGTCTCGAGTGTTGGCTTCGTTTCGTGCTCCGATCGTGCCTCGATTATCGTTGCTGCATCTCCATCGATCGACGACCGGTGGACAGTCGCGTTGGCGAGTCGTGATTCCGGTTGCACCGGACGGCAAGCACCTCGATGATAATCCGTGTCCTCGGATTCGATCGCACGCGACAACGAGTCATTGGGCTGCGGATGCTGCTGCTGCTGCTGCTGCTGTTGGACGACTCGAGTAGCTCGACGGAAAGCTCTGTATACGGAACGAGCGGACGTGCCTCCGGTTGGACGAGTAGAGACGAAATCGGACCAACGACGGGACTCGCGAGCTTTATTGTCCAACGATTCGTTCTCGTGGATTCGCGGATGTCGTGGTGCGATCGACGTTCCGACAACTCTATTCTCGCGGCACAAGGAAGACTCGGTGGAAGCTGACGGTACTACGATCGGTATCGGGCAGTCGGCACGGTAATCACAGTGCAGCACCCTTGGCCCGCCCGTGTCGATCTCAGCGGGCATGACGGTCTCATCCACGCTCCTTTCCCAGCCCTCCTTCTTATCTGCGCGCCACTTCCTCCGCGCTTTTATCTCGATATCTCTTTCACTTTCTCTTGCCCCGTCTTCCCTCTCGTCGCTTCTTGCTCGCCTCTTTTTTCCTCTTCTCCTTTTTCTTCCTTCGCTGTCGCTGCTTCCCGTTCTGCGCCTCGTTCTGCGCCTCGTTCTTTCGTTCCTAGATTATTGCTAGATTTCGCGAGTGTTGCACGTTCTCGTTGTCGTGGTGGTGGTCGTGGTCGTCGTTCGACCGACCGAACGAAAAGCACGGGACACTATTGGATGGGCCGTAAAGTATATGAGCAGAGTCACAGGATGCGAGTCCACCTCATCTTCGGCTACTTTTGCCCCGGACACATGCTCCGTTCGAAGACGATTCTCTCGAAACACTGAGGATACAGCCACTGGCCCGCCGTTATCGTCCATGTGCCGCGTTTTCGATACTCTCGCATTATTGCGGACCGCCCTGGCAGCGGTTCTAGCGCGGCAAACTCCGATCCTCGACGAGGAACCGATCGACGGACGATGGTGCCTCTCGTCGACGCGAACCGAGAAGATCGACGCGCGCCAGTCAGAACGGCTTGTTGGCGAAGATAGGAAACCACGGAATTGGTTTACGAGGTAGCATCGAGGCGACGTGCGATGGATCCTGAATGCAAACGACCGACTGGATCGTCGAGGCTTCCTGTACCCGATATCGCCGAGGGTACTCGTTACACTGCGAATGATCCTGGCTGAAGATCGGTCGAGCAGACGATAACCGAACGAAAAGGCTACGACGACGGTGAATTAGCGACAAAGGAGGCGAAAGGATCGTTGCTCGCTCGTCTTTAATCGGTTTTGTCGAGGCACGCAGGCTGATGCTACCGATTACCTTCGTCGACCTCGCTCTGTCCCTCTCTCTTAGTCCCTCTATCAATCGCAAGAACTTCCACCGACACGTTACTCGTACCGCCTTAACGGGTTTCTCTCTCTCTCTCGCTCTCTCTCTCTCTCTCTCTCTCTTTCTCTCTCTCTCTTTCTCTCTGTCTTTCTTTATCCCTCTCTTCCAAGCACCACCACCTCCTCCTCCTCCTCCTCCTCCTCCTCCTCCTCCTCCTCCTCTTTCTCCTCCTGTCTTCGTCTATATCACCGTTTCTCTTTCACCGACTGCTCCCTCACCCTGCCTGCCGTGGGAGAGCGTATCCTTCCGGAGTCGCCAAGGGTCGTAATCACGCGCACAGTTTCTTTCGCGAAATATTCTCCACTCGGTAGAGATATCGCCACTGTACTGCGCCCACCACTGCTCTTTTTTTTCTTCTTCTTCTCCTCCCGTTTCTGCCCCTTCTTCTCTTCTTTCTCCTCCTCTTCTTCTTCTTCTTCTTCTTCCTCTTCTTCTTCTTCTTTTTCTTTTTCTCCTTCTTCTTCCTCTTCTTCTCACCACTCTGCGGAATCGGCGAAACGCGTAATTACGTTCGCGAAAGCTGGCTCGTGCACACCGCGCAACGTACACGGTCGGTGCTCGTTGCGTTCGCCACGGCACACACGTTCGTCACCACACCGCGCGAGAAAACACCTGGCAAAGGCAAGGCGAGACCCGCTATCCACCGCGATCCTTCTACCGGCCTCTCTCTCTCTCTCTCTCTCTCTCTCTCTCTCTCTCTCTCTTGCTCTCTCTCCCGTTTACTCGCTCTTTCTCTCCCGCTCTCTCTCTCTCTCTCGCTCAATATCTCTCTCTCTCTCTCTCTCTTTCTCTCTTTCTCCGTGTGTTCGCTGATAAACAATCGAAGGAGCACGACAGGGCCGCGACGAGAGAGAAAGAAAAACAGCTAACGACCTCGCCGTGCGTGTCACACTGTGGAGACTCGGAGGACCACACCACCACCGTACCGGTACGTACGCGCGTAAAGTGGCGAAAAACGAAAAGGCGAACGTGAATCCGTCGTGGAGAGTGTGTTGTCACGCGACCATGAATCGCGATAACTTTCCAATCCCTCGTGGCGATGGTCGTCGTCGTTGGTACCGCCGACCGATCTTCCACCACCACCACCACCACCACGGTGTATGACTGTTGGCGACTTCTATCGCGACACACGTCTCGACACACGTCGTCGATAGAGGCGAGCGATGCAGCTAGCGACCGACCGACCGACCAACCGAACCGACGAACCAACGAACCAACGAAATCCGAGATAGGTTGCCGGGAAAATTCGGTGGCCGAAATCGAAACGGGGAATGGCGTATCGCGCGATTTAGGTGGTGCTCGATTCGTCGAACTGTGAACGATGCAGTGCGTGTCGCGCGATGTCGTGCTGCGTGTCGGTATTATTAGGAGGTCGGGGGTAGTCCGGCAAGTCGGCGGGGTTATCGGTAGGTCGGATGGTGCCGGTGCGGCGTCCGAGAAACTACTGAACGAGTGCCGCGGTTCTCTTCTCCGGCTCGGTTCGGGCACGCTCCTCGGTTCGCTCTCGTAGAGAGATCGACACACCAGCACACGGGCCGGCAGCAGCCGAGAGTGAAACCAATACCAGCGCGCGGGGATCGACTCGACTCGCTACTCACACGGGCCCGCAACATCCATCCCATCCCGTCCTCGTAGTTGTAGTAGTAGCCGTCGTCCCGTTTCGTCCCGTTTCGTCTCGTCTCGTCCCGTTCCGCTTCGTACCGTGTCGTCCCGATTCCGTCCCATCCCAGAGCGACGCAGCACGCGACAGATCTGGATGCTCGCTCGCTCTCGTCCACTACCTCCTCGCCACCACGACCACCACGCGCCTCTTCTTCTCCCTCTCTTCTTTCCCGCTACTCTCCCCTCCACCCTTATACCGCCTCTCTTATCTCTCTTCCTCTTCTTCCTTCCAGCCCTCTCTTGCTCCTCCTTTCTCTCTCTCCCTTTCTCGCCGCTCTACCGCTGCTCTACCACTCTCTCTCACTCTCTCCTCTTTCTCCCTTTCCGTCTCCCTCTCGCTCTCTGCCTCTGTCTCTGCCTCTGCCTCTGCCTCTGCCTCTCTCTACCTATGCCTTCCTTACCTTCCTTCCTTTCCCTCTTTCGCTCGATTTCCTTCTCCCTCTCTTTCTCTCTCCGCTCTTCGCCTTCGCTCCCGACACCTCTTTTCCACCGACTTTCTTCTTCTTTTCCCTCTTTCTCTTCCACTTTTTCTTCTTCTTCTTCTTCTTCTTCTTCTTCTTCTTCTTCTTCTCCTCTTCTTCTTCTTCTTCTATTACTACTGCTACTACTACTACTACTAGTACTACTAGTACTACTACTCCTTCCTTCGTTCCTTCTTCGAACCTTCCTGTTTCGCGCCGCGACGTACGTCGCTGCTCTTTCCTCCGGTTCCCTGGAACTCCACGCGGACGTCACTCCTCTCTTATTAACATCGAGCCGATGTCGCTGCTTCCTTCGCTTCTCCGTTCACCGAGAACCCGACCGCGGTATTTCGTCTATTCCGCGGTGTCCCCGGGAAGGTCGGCAGCGAAGGAACGCCGAGGGGCTAGGCGCGCGGGCTAGAGAAGGAGGAAGCCCGTTAACAAGGCCACGAAGGACGCACGCGAACACCTGCAAACCCGGCAAGATAAATCGCTCAGAAATCGCCTGTTGCACACGCGCCCGTGTCACGATTCCACCGCCTCGTCTTCTCTTCCTTCGCCTCCTCGCCGCGCCTGATCCTTCGCCGATCTCGTCCTCTTCTCCTCTTCCGGCTTATTTCCTTCTTACCTTCGTCCCGTCCCTTTTCGCTTCGCGATTGCTCTCGCCTCCTCCTCTCTCGCTAACGGATATCGTCCTTCTTATCGCACCCTCTCGCTTCTACGTTTCACTTTCTCGCTCCTTCACGCCGCGCCTCGCGGACGCGCGACTGCTGCAGGATCAGCCGCGGCACGCACGAGTTCTCGTTTTCTTCGGCTCCTTCGTTTCCTTTTCATTCTTCCTTAGACACGAGCGAAAGCCCTATCGAGGTCAGCCGTGCGTACCTGTAAACAGTAACAAGGCCGTCCGTTCAGACCCGACGTACAAACGTTTCCGCCTTCCGTGCGATCCGCGGATCATCGCCAGCCCCTCATTACTATGTACGAAAATGCCTGCCGTTTGCGGGTACACGCGGGCATCTGGCCATCGCGAACACCGGTCCCCAACCGACCATTTCGACCTTTCGTCCTTTTTCTTCCGCGTGCTCCCGCTTTCGCGGCATTTCCAGGAACAACCTGCGTTTTTCGGCCCTGTCGGACGATATTGCCACGTTTCTTAGCGAGAGTAAATTTATCCGTACGATGAATTAATTTCCCCATCGATCGCGCTCCTTTTTCCCGGGATAATTGCACCTTCGTCCATCGTCTCGTCGCTGATTTATTTTTGAAAACCCTCCAGCGTTTTGAAGTATTTATAATATGGATGGAATAAAACGCTAGCTCGCGTTACGTTCTATTTAAGATAAGCAACATATAGGATAAAAATGTAGGAACCCCAGCAAAAAGAAATTTTACGATTGCAATTCGAATTTCAGTTTCCAGAAAACCACGTTTTTCTAATATATACGTAATATAAATATAATTAATATACGGGCTGACCCATTCGAGAGGAGACGAGGAAGAATTTCTTCAACAACCGATTTAAATGGAACCAGCCGACACGCGTGTTTTACTGTTTCCAGTTGGAAAATATAAAATATTAAATGTCGAAGAAAGACACTCGTTCGGATATTTCTTCTTTAAATCAGCTGTTTACGAGATTCTTATTTGCGTCGATATAATTGGGACACCCAGTATTTCGATTATCTTTCGATATCTCTTATTTTCTAAGTTTCTGAAAATTTGCAACGCCTTTCGACAAAGCGTTGCCTCTTATTCGTACATGCACTCAATTCCGTATCTTTCTTTATTCCCACTGTATCGTTTTAACTATTATTGTCCTCGCGTACAATATTTAGAAAGGCATTAGGGATCGGTAAGAAATCTTTCAATCTCGAAACGAAGAAACCTCGTTCGTCTATTTTTTCGTGCCTGCTATCGTTCCGTCGCATCTATTTTTCACACGCAAACGGGTGAAATTTCTAGAAAACGTCTGTTGGATATTTTGCATTCATCTGGAAGAATACCGAGTGATAGAACGCGCTATTGTTCAACCTGAAAAATACGAAAAGCCGTATCGACCCGTTTTGCTAATTAAAATTTCGACACGAAAACCTGACTTTTTCATGTTCGCATCGTGCATTTCTCTTACGTAATGCACTACTGCTTTCACTTTCGATGGGATCGATTTGATTTATATAACTTTCCGATGATTCTATTAGACAATTACTCGACTGAAACTGCAACACGAAAATATCCTCGATATCGATCCTTATCGACGGATTCGTTGCGGGATAATTTACATTTTTTGTCGAATTTGTAAAACACGGTGCTTCCTGCAAACGACTGTCGTTAAATTGCAAATTTCTTCGTTCTTCTTACGATTTAAAGCTATGTTTAAGGCTATTCTTCTCGCAGCGCGAAGCTATTTCGCTCCGGGTGTTCGAGCTTTCTTTACAACCTACTTGCCTTCGAATTTTCGTGCATCTTTTTACCCCTCGATACACGCGTAATCCTAATAATCAGTACATTTTACGTACACCGTGGATAGTCGCGGAGATAGCTGGTAGGCGATATTTTAGCTCGTAGCAATCGATCACGTTGCCCACGGATACGCGTTCTGGCTACCTAACGAGCCTAAGGTTAAAAGTACCGAAGCAGCCGTTTTCGTCGCTGTACCGACACTCGGGCACAAACGCGTCCCGGTAAAATATGATATGCAAATAAGGTTTAGAAACACGACGAGCAACAATGTATCCTATGCTTAGCTTCAGCGAACATCTCTCGTACGGGTCGATCTCGGCGTAACTCGCGATAAATCGTTGCATCACTGGGTCGATTGCAACGTTATTATCACAGCCTGCATGGAAAATACTTCGCGAAACCAGACAGGCATCCCAGATAAAGCGTTTTAGCTCGTAACTTGTATCTATTTCCACCGCGAGCTCATCTCGCCATCTATCTCGACTACGTCTGCAACTTGCCCCGTGCCTATCCTAACAGCCATCGCGCCCACGACCCGACTCCACCGGTACTACCTATCGTGTACGAACGGAAAGAACGAAGGGCCCAAAAGACAGGAGAAAAACACGGGAATAAGATGGAGGAAAAGCAAAGAAAAACGGGGGGGGGGGGAGGAGGGGAAGAAGGCGTACAAAGAAAACAGACAAAAGGGAGAGAAAAATAAACGACGAAAGGGATCACGCATCGGGTATGCGTTTTGAAGGGCCTTAATAGCGACTTTTTCGGGGAAAACTATCTCATCCGGTAGAACGGACTACGAGCAGCTTCTATGGCGTGTACGAAGATAAAGGGAAGATACCATTCATCTAGGATCGTCTCGCGACATACCTTCAGCCTTCGACTTTTACGAGGCGCGTCAAATTTCCACCGTTGTCGAACATCTCGTAGTTGCTCTCCAAGATAGCCGATAGTAGGTTCCACGGTTTCTCGGGATTTTTCTCCTCGGCCAACAACCCTCGGAAATAGCTCGCAGTCGCGCGACGCGTCCTCCGCGTGGACTGACCACGGGCAACGTTAACGTTTCCGTCGATCGTTCGGACAGGACCAACGAACCGAAGTCACTTAGCGAGCATTTACCCAGGGCCTCGTAAATACGAGGGAATACCGACGCTGGCGGCTTGGAAAAATGACGAAATGGACGTCGCGAGGGGTGATAAACGCCGAAAGGGCACCTATGCGTGTCGAAGATTAGAAGGCGCCACGATGATCCACATTCTTACGTCGTTTCGTTGCTCGTCCGCTGACAATTATTCCAGAATCCTCGAACGCGGCCAGGAATATGCCCCGAGATGCTTTTTAATCTGGAATTCTCGGGGTTGTGGTAAGCAGCTTTGTGGTAGATAGGAGGCGTTTCCGTTTCACGTTGGTTAACGCTAAACCTATCACGGTCAAATGACCTGTGAACGAAGAAGGAGTAGGACTCGAAGAACCGATTAGGAAAATATTGGAAGAAAAATCGCGAAAACCGAGCGATTAAGAGGATAAAGTTTTAAAAACGATGATTTCACCCTTTGCACTCGAGGGGTGACTCTCGGTCACCATTTAATCAGATTCTGAAGATCGACGTTATTTAATATATCAAATTTAGAATTACCTAACGATGCGTGGAATGTCGAAGAAAAATAATTCTACGTTTTAATTTGCATATGATTTCTCATTTGCCATTTTAAAAATATCCTCGACTCTATGACAGAAGGTCTTCGAATTACTATTTCTCTGTAACGAAAAAGTCGTCGAGTGCAAAGGGTTAAGTTATGGTTCATTCAGTGTTAAAGGGACTTTCTATGCCAGAGTTGGGGATGAAAGAGATTGAACCCGATGGCTGATCGATCTCGATGATACGAGTATTGGTGTCGTTTATCGTGAAATATGTTCCGATTTCTTCATTTTACGTGCTTTGACACTGGCTATACTAATGCGTACCTAGATACGTAGATAGTATAACTACATAAATCATTCTTTCCGCAACTGCATCGTGGAGTTCAAGACCTCCCCCCTGATGATTGCGAAAGCTTCGTGGAGCTCTAGGGCTCCCGTTCATGATCGTAAAAGCTTCGGGAACTGATGCGAAAAGCGTTCGAGTTGACACCAAGTAAAGTTTAATTTCGCCAATGTTTCGAGAATATTAAAATTAATTACGAGGAATTTTCAAAAATTCCACCTGATTTTAACCTACGTCTCTTTGCTATGGAAGCTGACCCAAGAGAAATTAAGAGAAAAATCGAAACGAGTAAAATATCGGAGCTCCATTGCAATACCTTTGAAAAGGATTGAGAACCACTGACACAGACAATTACTGCCGTATAATGGAAACAAGAGAGTACAATATTTCAAAAAATTGTAGTTTATTCGTTAGCTGGTTTGGGAAATGCACGATTTACGTATTTTAGAAGAAAACGGGAGAAAACGAATAGGAAAAGTTGTTGATTTTGAAAAGAAATTTTGCAATTAAAACGAATATTAACGAGATGAATTAATGTTCGAAACGTTAAATGCAATTTCCCGAAAGTGAAAATAAAATATATAACGGAGATATGCCATTTTCTAATTTCTGCTATTACGAAACAGAATTTTATAATGTACATGAAATTTTATTAGCGATTACTCTTTATGAGCATGCTCCACGAATATAATATAGAGAAAAGTCATGCAATAGCTAGCAAAGCTAGTTTTCGCTTCTCTCGATAGATCTCAACACTCCTACTGCAAAAATAAATTAATATAGTGGACACGTGTCACACAGTTCGAGGCCATATTGTTTATTACTTCTCGATTTTATGAAGCGTTACACGAGTACGGTTATATTTCCGTTCAATGAATATTCTTTTCCACAGTTCGTTACCTTGTAGATACGTAAATTATTTTATCCTCTTTTTACAGGTATCCCTAATTTATTAAGAATAACAAAACGCTTTGATTTTTCAGATTTTTTTTCTATACATCAATACACGTAGGATTATACTTATTTGATTTTCTTAAGAGACTCTAATCAATTTTTCGAAGCAAGTAATTAAGGAAAATCTTACCAATTAAAATTGTTATAATTTTTCTCTCTTCCCCTTGTTGAAATATTATTGCTTAATTTATATTATTTCGCGGTAACCGAATTTCTCTTGTTATTTTGAAAATAGGAAAGCATACCTAATGAAATTATTTTTGTCACGTTATCACGCAGAATGTTCGTTGAATTTGCTAATAAGACGTTCCATCTGAAAATTAATAATCGTTAAGCTGCTAGGAATGTCTAGACACTATATTTAGTGATAGTATGAAAGTATGAGAGGCAGTGATAAGGGTTCTAGAAATTCCACGTGAATCAGCAGTGGAAATTCACTGAAAAATATTGACACGATATTAGTAAGTGTCTTAATCTCGTGAATCGCTATGAATTATGTATGGTCCGAAATACAAATCGCTCTAGATTATTTCAAATACTCCTACCATAACGAGTCATATTTCCGCTTCACCTTTTCCGCGAAAAATTCCCATTTTCCCATATTCTTATTCCCAACTCGCCCAAAAATGTATACGTATACGAATCACTGTATATAGA